ATAACAAAGGAAAAGAATATATGCAGATCTTAATACTGCAGTTGTTTAAAAAAATAAAATAAATAAATAAATAAATAAAAAACTAGGAGCTAGTTTCTCTAGGTTTTGCTGATATACACAGTACAAAAATCTGTACTTCCAATATTCAGAATGATTTTTATCCAGAACAGCATAAAAAAAATAAAATAAAAATCTCCCCTAAAATGATCTGCATGTGCTCATGAGATTAAAACTCCTAAAAGACTGAACTTACGAAATTACTGTTTGGAAAGAGGTGTAGCAATGTAATTTTAGTACTGTAGAATTCATACTTTGTTTAATTATTAGTTCCCACACCCACCACCCCCCAGGAAATAGAAATTTAATGCTAAAAACTTTTGTTAATAATTGTATGTTTTTGTTACTCTTATGAAGAGTATTTTTTCTTGCTAGAAAACATAACATGTTGAATTTTATTTAATTAAAGTAAATGGTCCTAGTGTTTGCATAACACTAACGTCAAACTATGTGAATCCTCAAGCATCACATAATAAATGGATGATAAAATAAATGGAGAATATTAATAAATATAGGATAAAATCTAGAAGTGGAGAATATATTAACAATAGGAAACAGGTCTGCCATAAATAGAATTTTTCTCTGGACTAACAAATTCCTGCATATTACTTTCAAACACCTGTTGGCTAGGGAGTTGCATCATGACTACTAGCAGTGCAGTGATTGATAATCTTCAGGATCACTCTTTCAAGATCTTCACTGGCTATGCCTTCTCTTTCTTTTTGGTGTGAGGGTGTGATCTTTGTGGAGCCTAATTTTTAAATTGTACTGCATAATGTTTTCCTAAATTCTAAAAATTCTGCAATCCCTGGTTTTTGCTGCCAGGTGCTCCTCTAAATTCTAAAAATTTTTTGTCCCCCTAGATTCTAAAACTGATGCGATTGCATGAGTTATATTTGCCTTGTGAGGGGCTAGCATTTTTCTATCTGATCTAAACAATAAACGAAGCCCCAGTGTTGCCATGTCTATATGTTATCTTACTAAATTTACACTGGTGATCTAAAATTTGGAATTGCCCAACAATTCCAAATATCAGGCTTTGTGTTGTATTAAAATTATGAATGCTATATCTTCATCTTTGAAGTTACCTTGTTATTATATATGAACATATTTCAAATTAATATTCTTCACGTTCTGACTAACTGGGTCAGACTGTTTCATAGCACCTTGATAACTTCTTTATGAATAAATCTAATGACTGTTTTCAAAAGAAACTTTTGAGCTGGTGGAGAGTTGCCAAAAAGTCAGAAGAAAATGGTGCTTGTGTGATTCAATAAAGTTTTCTTTTGTTTCATTTTTGTTTATCACCAAAAAACTGCAGAATTTTCCACATGATCCAGTTATTTGCTTGAAGATTCTTGCTCGCAGACTTATTTATTTGAAAACTAGTTTTATTTTTGTGAATATTTTTTTTTATTTAAAATTATGAAATATTCTGAATATCTGCAGTTTTTAATTTGGGATGATCTATCTTTTCTCTGGCTAATTATTAAATATCTTTTAGTAACAGTGCATTAATTGATTTTAAGTTTTGAATTTTTTAATAAATTAATTTTAAAATAGAGAAAGAAAGTTATTATTTTGTGGAGAATATATATAAGATTATTCATGCAAGGAAATAAACTTTTGGACAAACAGGGTTCAAGTGCTTGCTTTCTATTTTATGTAGTTTTCATTGTTCCATAATTTGTCTTTTGAAAATAATTACATGTGTATGTAATGATTTCTTGCATCAGTGATTAAATGTTCAAAGTAGTGTTCCCATATTCTTATACATCAAATGGTGAGAACTGTGCAATATTTGTATAAATGTTTGATGCAAGTACTTTAATTTTAAAAAGTGCATTTTCATGGTTTTGACCCATGATGTCAAGTCTTCAGAATTTAATTATTAGATTGTGATCTTCCCCCACTTTGATATTTGAGTAATAATTTCGTAGCTAACTGAAAACAATTATATTAAACAGCTTTTATCAATATTAGCTCATTTATCGTAGTGCTTATATGAATTTTCAAAAACGGTTATAAATATAATACTGAGGATTTTTAGGAAATGCAGATTAAAAATTTTTAAAAATACATACAACACAACAATTTAAATATTTAGTACTTGATTTATTTTAATTCTTATTTCTGTTCACTAGAAATTCTTTGTATTGATTATTTTTCCTTTTTGAAATGTTCAAATGCATGTCATGTATGTTAAAAAAGAAGATGTCCAAGTATTCACAGTTTATAATAAATTTGGAAGTTCAGCTTTGAGAAATACAGTTTTGTAATAATAGGTAAAAATTACAGTTTAAAATAAGTGAAATTGTCTGAAAAAAAAACATTAATTATATACATATGTATATTCCTTGTGTATGTTATAACAGAATGTTACAAGAAGAAATTACTTAACCCTTTCGCGACGGGGGGGGGGGTTCTTTCTCTCCCAACAGAACAATTTTGATAACAGAAACTATGAGTAGGGCACACTAGAATGGTAAAAACTAAGATGTTATATTTTTAGAAAAAAATTTGAACACTGATTTAGGACCGGGACATATGTGTCCGCAGTCAGTCCTTCAATGCTTGGAATATTTGTCCCAGTAAACTTCAATGGTTTTCTAGTCATAAAAATTTATTTATGAATGGTATGGTTTGAAACAATCAATGCACAATGGGACATAAAATAATGTGCACATTATTTTAGTGCACGATTCCTTTCGTTGTGCACATTTACGGCACCGCCGTCATGTTTTTGTTGTTACTGGCAGATGGTCACCAACATTGAGTAAGCTTCGTGATGTTTTGGATGAGCGTCCAGTTCCTCTACGGCATTGATAATGTGCGTTGAGTTTTCCGGACGCCATCAATGCTTCTACAAGAGATACAATGAAATCAAGAAGTGGGGTTTTTCGATGTTTGAGTTTGCAGTACACAATTCATGAGTTCACCACTGTGTTCATCAATAGGCAAAAAAATACTTTTTTCCACCACTTGCAAGATTTTTGATCTAATTCATAAACATTTGCCCTTTGATCTGCAAGGTCTACACCTCCCATGATTTTGTTGTAGAATTCGATTGCCACAGGGCACTCAAATTCTTCTTTGCTTCCATCTTTCATGGTGCGATTTACTTTTGCATATTTAGCTTCGTGGCAATTACTTAGCTTAGCATCATCATTTCCTTTGAATCAAGCCACCTCGCACACAATGTTCCATTTTTAGTTACAAGAAACTCAGCCTCACCCCTTTTGCTTAGTTTTGTTGCAAAATTAGGAACATCTTTGCGTGTCTTGGTGCACGTAGCAACAGCAGGAAATTTTGGGTTTCCATCAGGTGCACGCATGTAAAAAATCGGTCAAACGCAAGCATCACGTATTTACCTCGGATTGTCTCCGTTAGCTTTGATACTACCCATTCCCCAAGTGTGCCTTGAACTTCACCCGTTTTTTTTCCCGGAATAAATGTTCATGTTATATACATATCCTGTTTTTGAATCACATCGCTGCCAAATTTTTATCCCTCTTTTCACAGGTTTCATCGGCATATATTGTTTGAGGCATGAACGTCCCTTGAATTTCGCCATTGATTCATCGATAGACTGATACGAGCTTTCGCTTCGGCACTGTTTGAAGGTTTGTTTCAGGCACAAAACAACCTCGTCAATATAATATGTTTTACTTGCATTTTCTGGCTTTTCTGGTTCAGCGAAATATAGTTTCGACAGCAACGTTTTACATCTGCCTCTTGAAATAGCATTTTTTATTGTTGTTTCCCATTAGATGACCAATAATGAGAGAATTTCGGCACCCTATTGTAAGACATGATAAGCATGCATCCAAGGACAAGCATAGTTTCAGAGGGGTCTGTAGGGTGAATTGTTTGTCCTAACTTTTCGAGTCTTTGGTTTCTGCATTGAGAGATCCAAATCATAAGACTTTTTGGAAATATCTTGAGAAACACGTCCAATTCGGTAGCTGAACGATTTAAGTTGAATAACAAACTAGGCGATGACTCTGCTGGAATTGTTATTCGAGGTTGGAAAATTGAATCTGCATAAAACCATAAGATTTGTTTGCAGCCCGATGCATTAGCTGATGGTATCTCATCAAGTGATGTCGTATCAGTATCACTCAAAGCATCGCTGTTCCTGTATTTTGGGGAATGGTATCATGATCGATATCCATTTCACACTCGTCTGAATCGGATGAGTACTGCAAATTGTGTGTTGGATCTTGAAAATTGGGATCGTCTATTTCATCATCCAAATCAATATCTTCGTCATCTGACTTTTCTAAAAAAATTTTTATTTCTTCATTAGTAAGTCCCCGGTGTCGAGTCATTTTAGATTGAATTAATTTGTGCCTAAATTAAAAATAATAAGCAACTATTTCAAAAGTGACCAAAAATATAATATCTAGAGAAATGATCACATAGGACTGTTGGGACAATGTGTTCCCAATATCCAAGACTAAAGGGGCACATATGTCCAGATAATAAAAATGGAAGTAAAACTTTGCCACTTACCAGTTTATTAGAGGTAATCTGCTTCGTGAGTAACTTATCTGGCCTTAGATTTATGGATAAATCAAAATTTAATCGAAAATAGGCGGTATTTCCCAAAACTAAACTATTTACATTCGTAGAGTATGGAATGAGCTGCTACAACACTTCAAAAACACAGGAAATGCATTATGTATGGTAGTGCCATCTATGTTCTGTGAAGGAAAATACCTTCAAAAATATTGGCAGGACTGGTGGGAAAGTCTCCTATTAGACAGAAAAGCGTTTCTATCCCTAAAGCATTTTTTGAAATTTTTCCTGGGATGTATGTGTCCCGTTAGGCACAAAGGGGTTAAGTCTGGTAAAAGTTTATTATCTTTTAAGCATTTTACAGTACTATGAAGAAAGTGATCAAAATTTGTAAGTAATTAACTATGTAAAATTTCTTTCAGTTTTACTATAGAAGTGGAGATAGTGGAATGGGATCGAGTACAGTTTCCTTAACTGCAGGTGTCAAATCAGGTAACAGATCATATAAAACTGTGGACAGTGGTTTAGGTTATTTGCAGGCTGGAATACAAGAAGAAAACTATAAGATAAGACGAAGTGCATCTTCTGAGATATCCCGGTTAGAAACAAATCAATCACCTGTTTGTTATTATCATAGCAGTAGAAGTTTATCAAAATATGGGATTGAAGTTAATAATTGTACTACAGGCTTAAAGAAGCTAAGATCAGAGTCACCTTCCTCCGCATTAAGGGACTGGTAAGTATAAATATATCTTTTAATTCAATTAAATATATCTTTTTTATTTTCTGTTAATAACTGAGATTTATGCTTTTATGAAGTGATTTGTTATATATATTAATAAAGTTCAAAAAGGAAGAAGTTATTAATTCTTTTCAATAATAAAAAATAATAAATAAATAAATAAAGTAGTGTAAAGTTTATATATAAATTACATTTATTTCAATTAATTGCTTCTTGGTCTTTTTTTATTTTATTTTATGTCCAAAAAAAGCACTTTTTAAATTTTTTTATTGCTGAATATAAATGGTATACGTTTTATCTTGAATTTGAAGATGCAAACATTTTTTTCAGTAAACAGTTTTTTGCTTCACCTACTGGGATCATACATATGATATCCCATTTACCAGTCTTTAATTCTCCCAGCAATACATCCAAATTATAATTTTTTTTTAAAACTATATATGATAACTGATCTATATATATTAAATTTATTGCTTTGAGGTATTTAAGATAAGTAATAGCATAAAAAGAGTTATTAAAAATACATAAAAAAAATGTTTTGGAAAGCAGATTTACAATATTACCATGAAAGTAGCTTTACAGTCTTTCTTCACCATCAGAGAATAAAAACTACACTGAAATCATTTATTACTTATTTTATCAAAAAAATAAAAATCTTGTCTATTTTATTCACAGCTATTGGACTAGCTCTGAATTCATTATAAAGGCTATTTTAACATGCAACAGTAACCAAATAAAGTGAAGTTAATATAAAATGATTGTTTTCCATTCAAAACAGAAAATCTCACTGAAAAAAAATATTGAGAAGGCTGTGCCAACTCATAGCAATATTTGAAAATATAAAAAGAATCATGGAATATAGTGAGACATGTAAGTAGCAATAAATTTGCTTTCAACAAGCAATTTTACTCTTCATTGCATCATATGTAACACCAACTATATAGGCACAAAAGAGCCGAAAATGTGACACGCTATGCCGATCAAGGAGGAATTATTTTGTAACTATTTGTGGCCGTATGGCTAAAGCTGGAAAAATACCTATCATTCCCACTTAAACTGCTGGATGTGTTTTTTATGTGTTTCCTCAAATGTTATATAAATACAAGCCAATTTTATTTATGAAGATATCCTCAGAAGCATCCTTTCAATAAAAACTTCAAGAATGTATTATTTAGTAAAAAATCTCGTGTATGCACTACATGACTTTCTTGTATGGAATATTAGATTATGCACATTTTTCCCTGCATTTCATTTAACCCTTTGACAGTTTCATTTTTTTCCAGAATTCGGTCAAAAAAAATGTCACAATTTTTTATTGCATTTTTTTGTTCATTTTACATTTTTAAGTAAAGATATGTTATTAAAATTAACATTTCTAATATTTTTAAGCATTTATTACAACTTTTTTTCTTTAATGAAAATAGTCAATTTTCCCTGCAAGTTGTTTTTCCCCCTACATGAATGCAAAACAGGGAAGTTACATTTACAATTAAAATAATACAATTTACTTAACAGATATTTTCGATTTTAATTCAATTACATATACTATCATGTTTTGATACAAAACATACTTACCCTTCTTTTTTTGAAGATCTGATTTAGTGTGATATATCTTAAAGCAAGGTGACAGGCACACACAGTCTGGGCAAAAATACCTTGTCTCTTTTCTAATTCTTTTGCCGTTGTCATTTTTTTTTTCGATGAACACACATAACACTGTCTTGCGGGTCTTAGTTTTTTCTCTGTAGGTGGAATAATCTCTAAAAAATGTCTTTCTGTTAGTCTTAGTGGAGTTGGTAAATATCCAGGACGGCCTTTTCTTTCTTCTACTGCTGCATGCCTTTCAATAAGTCGATCGATAATTTCCAATCGAAACTGTAAATTCGTATCTTTACCGCCGTGCTTTTTATACAAAACATAAGCGTTCCATAAACAGATCTCTAGAAGATGAAAAAATATTTTTTTGTACCATTTCTTTCCTCGTTTCTTTATTATAGGATAATTACTTAGGTTCTGGTCCATTCGATCTACACCACCCATTGTGTTATTATACTCCATAACTACTTTAGGTTTTCGTTTAATTTCATTCGTCGAAGTGGATACTTGAACCATTTCCGGATTATGTATTGTAGATATGAGAGACACGGCTTTTTTGTCCATCCATTTCATAATGCACACTTTTCCCCTCTGGTAAGCAAGCATTTGCCTTTTTTGAAGTTTTTTTGTCAACAGTGCTTTAGGAACTTCCTTTCTTTGAAGTTTTAATGTTCCGTACAAATCTGTACAGTAACTAATGAGGATATCTGCTATTTCAGGAGATGAATAAAAGTTGTCAGTTGTCATACAGTATCCTTTATGTAAAAGTGGTTGCATAAGTGTAATAACTACCCTGTGAAGATTTGCTCAAATGTTTGTAACTTTCATCACACACAGTTCCTTTTCTGGTGTATATTATCATAGACCATACATATCCAGACTTCGACTCACAAAGCATGTACAATTTTATTCCAAAGCGTGATCGCTTTAGAGGAATATACTGTTTCCAACTTAGCCTTCCTTTGAACAACAGAAGACTCGTCTATGGTAACATCACGTTCAGGGATGATCATTTCTTCGAAACGAGTTTTTAAGTGCTTTAGCATGGGCCATATTTTTGATAATTTTGGACACATGAGAATTTATGTCAAAATTGACATTATCTGAAAAATGCAAATAACTGTAAATTAATTGAAAGCGGCGATATGACATCATTTTTGGAAAAAATGGCATGGATGTTGAATGCCTCTTGCTCCAATACTATTCAACAACTGGCTTTTTTACAATACCTTGCAGAATATTCAAAGCAAAAAATACATATAATTCATCTTTCGATGTTGGTGTCCATTTTTTGCTCCTGGAATGCCTACGAAGTGTACTGTTTTTTATGCATTGCTCAGCATATCTATTTGTTTCAAAAACAATCAGGTCAAGCAAATAATCGCCTATGAAAGCATCATAGAACTGAAGTTTACCTTTAGTCTCATTGATATCCAAGTTAATTTTTGGAATTCCAGTGAAAGCAAATCTAGGAGGTGGATCCGAACGATTATCACAACTAATTTCAAAAAATTGTCTTGCTTGACTGATTCCATCTGTACTACTATCAGAGTCACTACTATCCAGGTCATCTAGTAAACTTTCGCTACTATCATTTACAGATAATTCAGTTTCTGATTCTGAGTCACAGTTCGAATCACAAGAAATTAGCTCCATACACTCTGATTTATCCATTATTTAAAAGTAAAAATATATTTTTCAACTCTTACATCAATACAATTATCAGGCGGTTAGTAAAATATAACCAGAAAGCGATACACTGAAAGATAACAATTCGTCTTCTGATACAAAACATGCGAAAAAACTGGCGCTTTTGAACCAATCAGACAATAAACTACAAACTAGCATTTACTGGACAACTATCGCCATCTATACGAATAATTTGTTACTAAAATTGGAAAAAATACAGCCGAAACAGTGCAAGTGAAATAGAAATCAGATTGCACGTACACCGTCCGGGCAAATCAGTAAAGGCCCGAAGTACGGGCAAAACAGGGAAGGGGTTAAATTTATTTCCTCGAATTTCATTAGAGATATATTTCTCATTCAATAAATTCAGTTCTCACTTCCTGACAAGGCAAAAATACACGCAACCTCAAAATATCTTTATTAAAAATTGAAAAATATAGAAAAATACATAGCGTATTCAAAAATTAAGTACCGATTCATTCTAGCGCCATCGCAGCGCTGTGGTAGCCGTCCCGCGAATGCGCACTAATCTTTCTTGTTCACTTTCAATTGTCGCCATTTTGGTTGCTCTATGTTGTATTTTCAGTTTGCTGTGCACATACAAAATGTTTAAGACAATTAGTTCTCCCGCTGACTGTGAGATTCGTGCCGTGATTAAATTTTTGAACGCGAGGAATGTTAAGCCGGCCGAAATTTATCGTCAAGTGACAGAAGTTTACGGTGCATACGCGATAAGTGATGGAATGGTGAGAAAGTGGGTAAGAATGTTTAATGCAGGTCGAACAAATGTCCACGCCGAGGCTCGGAGTGGTCGGGCTTCTGTTGTCACCGATGATTTGGTAAGGAAAGTTGATGAAGCAATTCATGAGAATAGACGCTTCACAATGACAACTCTTTCAGAGGCATTTACTTATTTCATGTACTGTTTCATGTACACAAATTTCATGTACTGTTTTGTTCAAAATTGTGTCTGACCGCTTGAATTATCGCAAACTGTGTTCCCGATGGGTTCCAAAAATGCTCACTGATGTTCACAAAACAAAGCGACTTGGTAGTGCCCTGACATTTCACAAGCGGTTCAGTGATGAGGGAGAAAACTTTTTAAACCAAATTGTGACAGGTGATGAAACTTGGGTGTGTCATTTCACATCAGAATCGAAACAACAATCGATGGAGTGGAGACACACTCTTTCTCCGAAAAAACAAAAGTTCAAAGTGACAATGTCATCACAAAAAATCATGTGCACTGTCTTCTGGGATAGGAAAGGCGTTTTGCTTACTGAATTTCTTGCCAGAGGTGAAACCATTAATGCAGCACGATATTGTGAGACTTTAACAAAACTAAGGCGTGCCATTCAAAACAAACGAAGAGGAATGCTCAGTAAAGGAATTGTGTTGCTCCATGATAATGGTCGGCCCCATACTGCTGGTGTCTCTGAATCGCTAATTCGACAGTTTCATTGGGAGCTGTTCGATCACCCGCCATACAGCCCGGACTTGGCGCCGTCTGACTTTCACTTGTTCCTGCACATGAAGCGCGAGCTTGGTGGCAAGCGCTTTGGATCTGATGATGACACGAAAAATGCTGTAGAGTCATGGTTATCGAAACTGGCGGGAAGTTTCTTTGACGATGGTATACAAAAACTGGTCACCCGCTGTGACAAGTGTTTGATCATTGGTGGAAACTATGTTGAAAAATAATTTAAGAC